ATTCTATTATCACATTGCCTCTCTAACTCAGCCATTGTCGGCTATTGTCAGACACCATGTCATGGTTGCTTGTACCTTAGGCTTCGCGCCTTTTTCCTTTCAGATAAGACTTCCGCTGTATTTCGGATTATCGTCTGCAAACAATAGACATCGTATCGTATTGCATGTTCCTCGCTGGGAAATAGCTAGGCATATTGTATACCAATTTCTGTGAACGGAAGCCCTAGAATTAGGATGAATTAAAGATTGGAATTTCCTATCTGCAGTCGACATAAAATGAAAGCCGTTGCCTGGTGTTTCTGTCTTCTAGGAAGCCAAAGTTTGTTCGGCTCTGTAAGATGTTAAAATTTGATAATTTCTCTTCAACACAGGATGTTGGCAAAATGAATTGTTCATCTAGACATGTTTCTTCATTTACTTTTCCGTTTATATATAATTCTTCTGGGTATTTTCGTTTTGAATTTGCAGTTTTTTTTTATGTGTTTATCACTTTTTTTTTCTTTCATTATATTGTGTTTTTCCTTTACGAATTTCGTTTTCCTTCGACATTTTTTACGTCTTTTTCGTTTTCTTTTTTGTTATTTTATTCTCATTTTATTATTCAATCATTAATTTTTTTTCTTTCCTTCGCTGATCTTTATTTTCGTTTTTTTTATTATTATTTTTCATTCTTTCTTTAGCTCTTTCTTTCTATTGTGTTATTTCTTTTATTAGACTCGCATTCCTATTTTTAATGTTGTTTTCAACCATTTTTAATGATATTTTTAATGATATTTTTAATGGTATTTTAATTATATTTTCAAACATTCACATATTATTATTGATCATTTTTCTTTCTTTCTTTTTCTCTTTGTTTTTCTTTCTTTCTGTCTGTCGTTCTTTCATTATTTTTTCTGTCTTTCTTTCACTTGTGTTTTCCTTTTTAGTTTATTTTATTCCAATTTCCATTATTACGTTCTATTCTTAATTCCTCTCTTTATTTTCAATCCTTCTTTCTTTCTTTCTTTCTTTCATTCTTTCTTTCTTTCTTTCTTTCTTTCTTATTTTCTTTCTGATTTATTATTTCTCGTATTTCATTAACATTCTTTTCCAGGCGTTCTATTTTTCCTTTCCATCTCTTTTTTTTTATTATTGCTCATTTTTCCTTTTTCTCTCTGGCTTTCTTTTGTCCTCTCTTTCTGTCGTTCGTTTTTCCTTTCTTCTGCCATTTTTTCTAGTGTTCTTGAGCATAAAGAGCGGATTTCGTAGCATTACTAACAGGGACCAGCTCAACGTTCAAACCACCCTTGAAATTCCACCAAACACATATCATTTGATTATAGTGGTAAAGGCTATATATATATATATATATATATATATATATATATATATATATATATATATATATATATTTAATGAAAAACAGACCACTTTAAGGTACCATTACAATAATTTGTTTCACAAAATCCTTTTTTGGTGAAATAAATTATTATAATGGTAATATAAAGTGGTCTATTTTCATTAAATATTAGCTCTGTATTCACATTGAGCTCTCAGGATTTCATCCTCCTTGGAATTACCCATTCGGTTTACCAAGTTCTTCGTAACTTAACTTATATATATATATATATATATATATATATATATATATATATATATATATATATTTCTGAAATGAGGTATTGTGTAGACTATTTACATTATTCGGACTATTGTTCTCATCTTTGTCACTGTAATTATTACAACGTCTCGGCCGTTGTACGCTCCGGCCTTCTTCACGTAGTTGGAATGTCGAATAATGTATATATATATATATATATATATATATATATATATATATATATATATATATATATATATATATAGAGACGAGAAGAGAGCGCTCAGTAAAATTAAGAGGTTTTCAACTTTTACGGACACAGATGTGTCTCCCAAGGCCTGCAGATGCAAATATTTAGACAGATGGAACATATGGTTGAGGATCAATTGTTACATTTTTCCGCGAGTGGACAGCAAGGCCTGCTTTACTGTGTGCGACATAGCAATAATTGTAGGTATGGCTATCATTAAGATGAGCATTATGATACCAACTTTCATTAATATTTGTCCGCAGATGGTCCCGATGTTCAAGCAGACCTCTCTCAAAGAATTGTATAAATGAGAAACAGGACAGGCGCCAGTTCCTTCGGTTTGACGCTTTGTTTAACCGGGAAGAAAATTTGATGCTGCCTCGCATCATATGGTCTTTGAAACGCAGGACTGGTCTAATAACGGGCTGTCTAGTTAGAGGCTGACTAAGGAGGATTTGCTTTGGAAGTCTGCTGTCGTTCATACGAGAAAGATGCCCTGTGCTGCTCTACTTAGGACATCTTCAGTAACTGTCATGTTGCATTTACTCAGTACCTGGCTGTTTTTAATGCGATCACACAGTTTAGTGTTGCAGATCGTACGTAAGCAATGCATGTGGAAGCCATCAATGAAATTGATGGCTTCCACAAGATTCTACACCATAGAGTAGGGATATTATTACTAAAGATTGGTGCACGTCATTTTTCACCTTAACGAAATATCACGTTTATTCCAAGACCTATGATATATATATATATATATATATATATATATATATATATATATATATATATATATATATATAAGAGAGAGACCGACAGAGAGTTTGAGAGAGAGAGAGAGAAAAAAAAAGAGGCAGAGCCAGACACCACTAAGTAGTGGATAGCGGCTCGGATTGAGGAATCAGAGAGCCGAGTTCGAATTCCATTACATTCAATTTCGTGCTAATACCCTTGGTAAATAGCAGAACAGACTAGGTCCGATGGCAACTGGTCTAGGAGAAGGATAACTCTGAATTAAAAAGTGTTGCGGAGGATTGTTTAGGGACCTTGTGGCACCAGGTCTCTGTATTCGGCCCTTCAAAATGTGTGTTTGGTTCTGCACAAAGCATTCACGAATATAATCAAACCTTATATGCACGTGTCTAGGAACTGAGCCGCTTGATCCTCATTCGTCGATTACGACGGGAGAGTCCACCATATATATATATATATATATATATATATATATATATATATGACAATCCTGACATTCGAACATGGAGGTGTCTCAGTAATGATTTGGGCGGCAATTTCCTAGTATACTTTGGTCCTATCATCCCACTTAATGATAGAATTATTGCAGATAAATATCTCGACATTCTCAATGACAATGTCCGTAAAATGGCTACCATACTGCTACCAGAAGTGCCATATTCTGAGAGTATAATGTACGCTACAAAAACAGTTACATCATGGTTTGATTAGCATCATAACTTAATTAAATATCTTCCATGTCTAACACCATCACCTGATCTCAACATAATTGAAGTATTATGGAGAGTTCGACAGCAGAGAATGAGGAACAGATTTCCTCCCCCACTCTCACTGAAGCAACTTTCCGAAATTTTGCTTAAATAATGGGATAAAATTCCACTGGAAACGATTCAAAATATATCTTACTCTGTCCCACGTAGAATCAAAGCAGTTTTAAAGATAATAGATGTCCAATTCCTAATTAACCGATAAATAAATTTTTAAGTCAGGTGTCCATATTATTTTGTCTAAACCATATATATATATATATATATATATATATATATATATATAAAGTTGTTACATATTGAGGATTCTTTTAAACTATTGCTATGAAGGTTTGAATTTATATACTTTTCGTTCTCGTTACATCTAATATATATATACATATATATATATATATATATATATATATATATATATATATATATATATATATATATATTTATTTACAAGGTTTGTCAGCTGATTCATGTTAAAACAGCATCCCGACTCCACTTTTGTAGGCGGACTCCCCAGGAATTACATCGTGCAGGGTTATCAGCAATAGTACGCGTATAATATTATTTATATATATATATATATATATATATATATATATATATAGAGAGAGAGAGAGAGAGAGAGAGAGGAGAGAGATAATTCTGTATTTAGGCTGCAATTACTGTTTCCTTCTTTATTAAATATCTCGTTGAACATGAGTGAGAGGGCAATTTTGTTTGTTTTTTTATTATATTTTTTCTATACATACACGTATATCTCAGACAGGAAGCCCTGCCAGCTTTATATCGTTACTCTCTAGAATATACTCCTACGTGAGTGCTCCCCTCTGTACTAAAATCCTAACCATTACAAATCACAGGTCAATCGTTATCGATAAACCGTATCTTGAACTTAGTGAATGTAAAAATGTTCTGATACTTTCTTCATTCCGGACGCTTTTGCTTATAATTTAGCCCAAAATTATATGGTCGCATATGGTGAATTTTTAAAAAGTTCTTTTTCCAGCAATGAGACAGCGTTTTACCGCCACTGTGTATAAAGGACTCCTGTGGGGGTGCTTCCCTGAGCAGTAAAATCCTAACCTTTTCAAATCACACGCCAATCATTATCTATTCTTATAGTCTTCATTTTCTACCATCAATTTTTCTTTCATACAATACACCTCATTCAGTATACCCATTTTAACAATAAGTGTCTAACTTGAGAGGCTCTCTTGCCTTTATTCTCCTAGAGTAATCTTGCCAAATGTTATCATATGAAGCAATGCCATTATTGAATTTCCGATATTTTTCTTCTTTCATCTAATTATATGATAAGCACTTTACAATAGAACGCTAAATAAATGTATTAAACGCCTCGAACAAGTCTGACACAAGGCTATTATTTGTTTCCTTTAAGTATTGAATTACGGACTATTCCTTTAAAAACTATTCAAATTAATACCATTGTATTCGTATTGTAAATGTTCTGTTATCTGATTTCAGGATGTTTGTGAACACGAGTGGCGCCGTTCCCGCTTGGAAATAGAATGCGTCAAAGGAGACGGACTTGACTTCATCGCCCCTCGAGGGAGCGGCTGTAACCCTTTTCCAAGAGGAGGTCAGCGTAAGTATTTATTGTCTTGTACACTCATTATTGGGTGGGGCTCGCTTATCACTACAGTAACATGTAGCAAGAATAAGAGACGGAGAGAGAAGCAAGAGAAAACATGCAAAAAAGACGCAGGTGGGGATAATGGCGGACAGAAATTTCATATAAATTTGTATAACATATGAAAGATAATTCGGACCTGGCGAGATATATACATGGATTTACAGACGGAGACTGAGCGATATTAACTGATTTAGATAGATAGATAGATAGATAGATAGATAGATAGATAGATAGATAGATAGATAGATAGATAGATAGATAGATAATGAAAAGACTGAGATAGATAGTAAGAGAGATAGATGCATACACGGATATGAAAAGATTTTGATAGATAGATAGATAGATAGATAGATAGATAGATAGATAGATAATGAAAATAATGAAAATAATGGAATAGATAGATAGATAGATAGATAGATAGATAGGGAGAGCTGAGCAATAGATATACCGTGAGATAGATACACAGTGAAATAATGAAAGATAGATTAAAATGGAGTTGAGTTTGATAATGTGGAGTGACGAATATATATATATATATATATATATATATATATATATAGAGAGAGAGAGAGAGAGAGGGGGGGAGAGAATAGATAAATGTGGGCACGCGCGTGTGTGTGCGCCTACATAGATAGATAGATAGATAGATAGATAGATAGATAGATAGATAGATTGTGATTAGCATTTTGGGAATAGATATACAGAGATAGGTACAGATGGACAAGTAGAGTAGAGAGAGAAAGCGAAAGTGAATGAACTGTACATTGATATGTGTGTGTGTGTTTGTTTGTGTGTGTGTGTGTGCGCGCGTGTGAAGAAAGGAATGGATTGTTTATTTATTAATCCGACAGCTGTGTATTAATGAAACGTCATTTTAGTTGATACTCATATTTGAATAGACGCCCCGTTTATTTATTAAACAATATATTTATTTATTTAAGTATTATCGTTTACCGACCTGAATATTCGAGAAGACTTAGTTGGCATAATGAACAGGCTTAAATAGATAGATAGATAGAGGTTAACAGACTGAGATAGATAGATAGATAGATAGATAGATAGATAGATATAAACAGACTGATGTAGATAGATATGAACATACTGAGATAGATCGAAAGAGAGAGACTGAGATAAGAGGAGTCTGAGATAGATATGAACAGAGTGATATAGATAGATAGATAGATAGATAGATAGATAGATAGATAGATAGATAGATAGATAGATAGATGCTAACAGACTGAGATAGATAGATATGAACATACTGAGATAGATCGAAAGAGAGAAGAGTGAGAGATAAGAGGAGACTGAGATAGATATGAGCAGACTGACGTAAATTGATAGATAGATAAATAGATAGATAGATAGATAGATAGATAGATAGATAGATAGACAGAAGTTGGAAATAAAATGGTGACGAATGAGTTTGATAAAGTACGTCACAAAGGACTGTTCTTTCTGTTAGGCAAGCGTGATATATTTGAGTAGGATGTTAAAATAATCCCTAGCCTATTCTGTCAGTAAACCTCCTGCTTACGGATAAGAAACAAATTCAGTATATACACAAAAACAGAATGCTTTGTAAGACAAAGATATGTCTTCTGTGTCTTCTCCCTGGATTTATTTAACCTCCACAGTGAGGTGATTCTAAGAGAATTAGAATCTCAACCAGGATTCATTATTGACGGCCATAATCTTAACAACATTATATATGCGGGTGACACAGTGTTGAGAGAAGACGCAGAAAGGAAAATAAATTCCAACAGAAAGTCAGTCAGTTATGTGTCATGCGTGATACACGCTTAGGCGATCATGTAGCTGTCGATACATGAAGACGAGGCACATTTTTTCCCGCAGTAGGTTGCCATTTTTTCTGCGGTAAACCAGTTGCCATCCAAGGCTATATAACCCGAACTGTATTGCTATTTACCCATAGCTGGTGCGGGGGGGGGAGAAGACGATTCATACATTAGTGAATGTAATGGATACGACTGGAATTCGAATGGAGATAGATATGAACAGAGTGGAATGGATACATAGATATGAACAGACAGATAGGTTGATAGATATGAACAGACACACACACACATGCATATTTATATATATACATATATATATATATATATGTGTGTGTGTGTGTGTGTGTGTGTGTGTGTGTGTGTGTGTGTGTGCGGGAAAACATTGCCTCGTCAGTAATGTATCGAAAGATACACACATGGCACACAACTCTCTCTCTCTCTCTCTCTCTCTCTATATATATATATATATATATATATATATAGAGAGAGAGAGAGAGAGAAAGAAAGAGAGAGAGAGATATGAACAGATTGAAATAGATCTGTCAGTCAGTTATGTGCCATGCGTGATACACGCTTAGGCGATCATATATCTTTCGATACATGACTGACGAGGTAGATTTTTTTTTCTTGCAGTCGTTCCAACACATGGTACTAAATGAAAAGTAAAAAGAAAGGAAAAACGTCAACTGTCAGAAAACAGAATGTATGGTTTTCAGCAAAAGGTACTGCCCAACATGTAAATTACGAATTGGAGAATCTAAAATCAAGCAAGTACTAATAATGGAATATCTAGTAAGTGTTTTTCGAGAGTGCGACATCTAAATCCAGTGGCACTGTCATAGTGAAAGGTGCCTTCCAAAACTTCAGCAAAGCATTGAGAATTGGGAACACCTCGATAGAAACAAAATAATGTGTACTTAACTGTAATGTAATATCCGTCACTGCAGTTACCTATTTGCTAGTGAATGCTGGACAATCTCATCATAGATGAAGAATGACTTGAGGCAAAAAATAATGTGATTCCATAGAAGAGTACTGAAAATGCAATGGACTGAGCATGTGAGCAATGATGAAATTCTTGAGAAAATTTAAATTAAATGGACACAGACAACATCAGAAAGTGTGTCATGGGTCCTTACCTATTACTACAGAATGAACTATACACTATGTATACTACGCCTCTCAAGAGAGAGGGTAGAACCAAGCCGAGCTTCTCGACTTGACGGTCGAACTTTCTGCCTCTGAGCAGAAAGGAACCCGGACGAGGTTCCGCCGAAGGGCAGAATCTCGTTCGGGGTGAATGACCCTCCCTATCTCGTTTTTACGAGTTCAGCATATTTTTTGGCTGAGCCTACGGGCCGGGAAACCCACGATAAAAATGAGTGTCGCATGCCCCTCGTGGGGGGTGGCTAGATACTGGCCGAGCTTCTCGACTTGACGGTCGAACTTTCTGCCTCTGAGTGAATGACGAGGTTCCGCCGAAGGGCAGAATCTCGTTCGGGGTGAATGACCTACCCTATCTCGTTTTTACGAGTTATACGGGCATATTTTGGCTGAGCCTACGGGCTCAGGAAACCCACGATAAAAAATGACCTTGTGTCGCATGCAACCCTCGTGGGGGTGGCTAGATACCGAACCAAGCCGAGCTTCTCGACTTGACGGTCGAACTTTCTGCCTCTGAGCAGAAAGGAACCCGGACGAGGTCCGCCGAAGGGCAGAATCTCGTTCAGGGGTGAATGACCCTACCCTATCTCGTTTTTACGAGTTCTACGGGCATATTTTTTGGCTGAGCCTACGGGCTCCAGGAAACGATAAAATGACCTTGTGTCGCATGCAACCCGTGGGGGGTGGCTAGATACTGAATGCCGAGCTTCTCGACTTGACGGTCGAACTTTCTGCCTCTGAGCAGAAAGGAACCCGACAAGGTTCCGCCGAAGGGCAGAATCTCGTTCGGGGTGAAATGACCTACCCGATCTCGTTTTTACGAGTCATACGGGCATATTTTTGGCTGAGCCTACGGGGCTCAGGAAACCCACGATAAAAATGACCTTGTGTCGCATGCAACCTCGTGGGGGGGGTGGCTAGATACCGAACCAAGCCGGAGCTTCGGCTTGACGGTCGAACTCTCTGCCTCTGCCAGAAAGGAACCCGGACGAGGTTCCGCCGAAGGGCAGAATCTCGTTCGGGGTGAATGACCTACCCTATCTCGTTTTTACGAGTTATACGGGCAATTTTGGCTGAGGGGGGCTCAGGAAACCCACGATAAAAATGACCTTGTGTCGCATGCAACCCTCGTGGGGGGTGGCTAGATACCGAACCAAGCCGAGCTTCTCGACTTGACGGTCGAACTTTCTGCCTTGGGCAGAAAGGAACCCGGACGAGGTTCCGCCGAAGGGCAGAATCTCGTTCGGGGTGAATTACCCTATCTCGTTTTTACGAGTTCTACGGGCATATTTTTTGGCTGAGCCTACGGGCTCAGGAAACCCACGATAAAAAATGACCTTGTGTCGCATGCAACCCTCGTGGGGGTGGCTAGATACTGAACCAAGCCGAGCTTCTCGACTTGACGGTCGAACTTTCTGCCTCTGAGCGAAAGGAACCCGACAAGGTTCCGCCGAAGGGCAGAATCTCGTTCGGGGTGAAATGACCTACCGATCTCGTTTTACGAGTCATACGGGCATATTTTTGGCTGAGCCTACGGGGCTCAGGAAACCCACGATAAAAATGACCTTGTGTCGCATGCAAACCCTCGTGGGGGTGGCTAGATACCGAACCAAGCCGAGCTTCTCGGCTTGATGGTCGAACTCTGCCTCTGAGCAGAGAGGAACCCGGACGAGGCTTCGCCGAAGGGCAGAGTCTCGTTCGGGGAGGTTGACCAACCCGATCCCGTTTATACGGGTTCTACGGGCATTTTTTTGGCCGAGCCTACGGGCTCGGGAAACCCACGTTAAACTCGGCCTTGTGCCACATGCAACCCGCGCGGGGGGAGTGGCTAGATACCGAATCGAGTCGAGTCGATAGTAGTTCACTCCAAACCAGACTGACAGTCATACTAACACCTTCCACATCTTGTATTATTATTTCGTGTAATATACCTTCGTTATTTCTACTCTTGTGTTCGTGTTGTTCTTCCTTGGTCCTAACCTGGACCATAACAAAGTGATACTTGAAATATCTAGGTCACATAAAGAGGAAAGAGTGCTTAGAAAATTTAACTCTTACAAGACATATTGGGCGGGGGTGATCTATATATTACTTTTCGTTATTTATATTACTCGGGCCGTTATGCGCATCTTAATTGGCACATTCACAACATTGTGATTAGAAATTCGAAGCCTTTATTTCGTCTCGCGGGGTAGATTGTTCTAGTTCCACGTGTCATGCCTCTTACGGATGTCTTGGTTATTTCCCTTTAACTCAATTCTCCAAGTTCTTTGGTTTACCACTGTTGTGGCCTGGTACTGAACTAACAGCTCTTCTAGTCAGCAGTGGTGAACAAAAAAAGAAATTAAAAAAAACATGGAGAGTTGTATGAAAGAGAAATAACTGAGACATCCGGAAGAGGCATAGCACGTGGAACTAGAACGATCTACCCCGGTGGGCGAAATAAACTGTTCGGTTCCTTTCTACAATCACCTGTAAAGGCTGGAGCATAAAACGGCCGAAACGTTATGAATATCGCAATGTAGATGAGGATAACAGTCCGTATATCGTAAATAATGCAAATATGGGAAACTAAAATCGGTAGGGGAAAGATGACAAAACTAAATATAAAGTGTTATGGGATCTTACCCATAATAATAATAATGGACTATTCCATACTTAATAAATACTGCGCCTCAGGATTAGGCAGGGAGTGGGTCAGTAGTTCAAGTCTTGAGCGGCTGATCGGTTGAACTCTCTGCCTTCGGGCAGGGTGGAACCCGAAGGAGGCTACGCCGAAGGGCGGATTCTCTTTCGGGGAGGTAAACCCGCCCTGAACCCGTTTATATGGGCATATTTTTGGCCGAGCCCACGGGCTCGGAGATCCCACGTTAAAAAGGCCTTGTGCCACATGACGCCCTCGTGGGGGGGTGACTGAATATCGTGAGACAGTAGTTCAAATTGAGTCAGTAGTTCAAGTTGAGTCAGTAGTTCAAGTCAAATCAAGTGTCGAGTCAGAGGCAGTCCGAAACAGAGTCGCGTTCAGACAATTACTGCAAGACATTGGAATAGTGATACTGGTCGAGACTACATTGTTCTCTCTACTAAACCTGATTGTTCATACTAACACTTCTACTTCTCTGTATATATTCCTGTTTGTAATATATCTGTGTTATTCCATACCTGTGTTCGAGTTCTTCTTTAATCGTTCTACCTTGGACTATCAACGTGGTACAAGGAACCGGACCATAACATTAAGAAACGCGAAAATGCCGTTAGGAAAGAACAACATGCGAAATTGCGATATTAATATCAATCCTCCAATCTAGCGTGGGAATGCTGAATAATCTAATCCCAAAAGAAAAGCCTTTGACAACAAAAATCTGATTCTACAGAAAGGTGCAAGATAACGGTCCGAGTAATGTAAATAATGCAAGTGATTATACTGCCACATCGCAGAGATATAGACAGATATCTATATTTTAATTTCATGGCATCAGTTTTCTGTTGCCAGTG